CGTCTCTACTACTACGTACGTACGTGTGTGTGTGTGTGTGTGTGAGAGAGAGGAGGGAGGGGGGGGGATGGAGACAACTTCCACAGAGGACATACAGTTCTTCATATGCAGAAAGGCAGAGTCTTACATTACTGTATGATGTTTCTTCTCCTTCTTGATTGGGGGGATCATTCATCTGATTACTTGGTCCTTCCACCATTGCTAGACATTGCTGTGTATGCGAGGAAATTTGCTCATTAATTGAGAGAGAGGGTGTTACCATGCCTTGTCCTCCTTTTTTATTGGATCAGCATGCCTTCTCTTTCCATCACCTGGAGAATCCTTATTTGGACTCTCAGAGGTGAGATCCTCTTCTTCCTATTTGGGGCTCTAGACAAGACGCCACAGTTTGCCTCAATCAATCTCAGTTTTTCAGAATTTGTCTGCCATTTACAACAGTTTTTGCACTTTTTATCATCTTTGCAACTGTTGTCTGAGGATTATCACAGATCTCCTGAGAAATTATTGGATTGTCTTAGTCATTTATTGACTTCCACTTTGGTTAGGTTATTGGCTTCTGCTCTCTCCTTGGTATCTTGGTTGAATTGTTGTTGGGATCTTTTGGAAAGAGCTGCCTTGCTGGAGAGAGTTCACTTTCCTGCTTTGGCCCTTAGAGGTCTCAGAGAAGTTCCTTTTCTCAGACAGTCTGTGTTTTTGCTGGTATTCCCGATTCCATGGAATATCCAGTAGATGTAGCCTGTCTTAACTCATCCCTTTATTCCTTAGCTTGTAGACTGCCCCAAAGGTCTTCTACCAGATGGTTTCCTGCATCTCCTGTTCAAGTTTCCAGATCTCCGGCTTTGATGCCATGATCAATTTGAACACAAGGGTGATTCCAACCTTACCAGCAGGTATCGTCCTCTAGGGTGGAATGCAGACTACAGTATCGGTGACTACCTTATAGGGTCAGGTCCTGTAGGGTCTCAATCCAGAGAGTTTGTTTTAGTATGGGAGACCTTCACCACAGATCAGTGGGTCATTCAAGTTTTCAGAAGAGGATTGGTCATTCAGTTTATGTCTCCTCCTCCATTGTCTCTCATACCTTTGGCTTTCCACTCTATATGCTTTCTAATATAAGCTCTATAGTGGCCATGGTATGTGTTGACTCCTATCTCAAGAGTTTTTATTCCAGGCTGTTTATAGTACCAACAAAGACAGGTGATTGACGACAGTTCATTGACCTTTCTTGTCTCAATTGCTTCATCTAGCCTTCTCAGTTTATAATGGAGTTGGTTCTTTCCCTTCAGTGGCTCTTTTCACCCTGTCTCTGGATGGCAAAATTCACACATGCTGTTACATGGATGACTAGCCTCTTCTCAACTCTACCTGCCACTTGGCAGAACTTCACACTCAATCTCTGTTAACAGAAGCTGTGAGAGCTGAGCTTCTTATCAAAATGGAGAAGTTTGTTCTTACTCCCACACAGTACCTGCTCCATTTCAATTCCAGACTAAGTCGGGCCCGACCTTCTCCTTTATGTCTTTAGTCCATGGAATGGGTAGTTCTTTATATACAGTTGTCTCCTTCTCCACCAGTAAGTGCAGTTGTATTTCTTGGGAATCCTTGGAATCACTCATTCCTTTAGGTTGGGCTCACATTCAGACCCTTCAGTGGTCATTACGGGACCAGTGGAGCATTTGCATAGATGTGCTGGATTGTTCAGTGGTTCTGTTGGTTTCAGTCTTGGCTAGTGACCCTCTACTGCCCCCAAGTCTAGAGATACATCTTTTCACAGATTCTTCTCTCTAGGGCTGGGGTACTTGTATGGAGAATTTGGAATTCACAGGCCTTTGGACAGAAGAGGAAACTTCTTTTCATGTCAGTCTATTAGAAATTATAGCAGCTCAATGAGCTATGACTCAAGGTCTTGGATTGTTGCAAGGGAAGGTGGTAATGCTTCGCTCAGATAATTCCACAGTCATCTCGTACATTTCAAAGCAAGGGGGCACCTACTCCAGATCTCTCTACTTTCAAACATCAGATCGTTCTCCTTGCTTGTCATGTTCCAGATGGAATGAATTTAGTGGCCGACTAGTTCTCTCATCCCAACATAGCATTTCCCATGGAATGGATGCTTCATCCTCAAATTTTTCATTGGACCACATCTCAGAATACCTGGAATGCTCAGTTCCCATCCTTCTGGTTTCCTGTACCTCACCCTCTGGCTTTGGGTGTAGATGCTCTCAGCCAGGATTGGACAGGTCTTCATCTTTATGTGTTCCCTCTGATTCATCTGTTATACAAGGTTCATGCACTGGTTCTCTCCTTGTTCTGTCAAGTTCTTCTGGTGGCACCTCTTTGGCCGGGTCAGTCTTTGTTTCCACTCCTCTAGTATCTTCATGATTGTCAATATATTTCCCTCTTTCCCTGTATATCTCTCTTACATCAGCCTCAGTCAGACTTTTTTTTATCCAGCAATTGATGTTCTTCAACTTTATTTCTTGCTTTAATGTGGTCTATTGCACGACATCGGAGATTGACTTCTAGGGTGACGTCCTTATTAACATGGTCCAATCGGCATTATTCTTTGGAAGTTTGTCTACGGAAATTTTTACTTATGATCAATGGTCTTTCAGACATGGGTTTAACCCTTCTTGTCCCACTGTGCCACATGTTTAGTACCTTTGTCTATTGCCCTGAATAAGGCTGCTTTATTGGCTACTTTTTGGTTTTTTAAGATTGGAAAGTGATGAAATACTTCCATATTCTTCACTTACGCTAATAGTTTCATTAGCATCTATTCAGTGTTCTAGAGTGGTTTGGATGCTGCTGTAGTGGTGGCATGAATCAGAAGATGACAGAACAACTGGTATTATCTTTGGCCTGCTGCTTCTCTTGAATTTTCTTGGAACATGTTGGATAAACATATAATAAATGTTGTATCATGCAGTCAGTATGCTTAACATATTCTTCTGAATAAAATTTGCACTGTTTAACCATCTTAATTGTGGGTAAAAAATTACAAGACAAGTCCTTTTGATTTATTCATGACTAGATATAGAATCTGTTTGTTTGTTTGTTTGTTTGTTTTTTAGATCAAGAACAAATTGTTGGTACAAAATTTTTACTTCACTATTTACAAACTCATACAAATTACACTATGTTTTGATCTTTTGACCCCACTTTTGAACAAAATACAGTTTTTTCTTTAGAATAATATTTCAATGTAATGACCAATAGAAGTTTCTTTCTGAAACGTTTGAACCAATGACAGACTACTAAACACTTCTAGAATCTCATAATGTATAACTTCAACCAATAAAAATATTATACTTTCAGAGATCCTGCAGTTAAAATAATATTCTAATGTATCATTCAATAAGCATCAAACCTAGACAAATAGAAGGTAAGCTCTAGAACTTTCTCCACTGATGTGGAATAATAGAACTTTCAGAAGCAGCAAGAACAACATGCACTAGCTACCTGCATTGAAAAAAAAAGTATATATTCCTATATTCAATAAAACAAATCTCCAAAAACAAAAAACATATTTTAAATCCCATTTGGCCAAGTGGTAAGCCTGATGGATTATAATGCTAATAATTGAGGTTCAATACCCATTTAATATCTTAAAGTAGAAACCAAAATATCAGGGACAATATGTTATTTTTAATATCATTGCTGTTTCTAATCATCAAATTAATGTAAGCCATATTTATGCACATTATAAAGTAATAATACAGCATATTAGTATCATATTCAACCTACTACTGCTAGATTTCAGCTATGATAGAAAAATAGGTAGGCTAGAACCCACTTGTTTAGCTAAATGACTACTTCTGACACCTGCTAATATTTATTCTTATGTTCAGTTCAATATTTGTCAAAGGAACTACAGAAATATTTGTCAAAACTTCACATTGCTTAGATAATATGCAGTCATATAACAATATATATGTATATATATATAATTGACTTGTACGGTACTTCTGCCATTCTTTATATGTAACATCAGGTATATATGATATGCAGTTTCTTAAGTATTTTAAAATTGTAATGTCTTTAAGTACACAAATTTATTTTAAAAATATTACATTCTTTATATTGAAGAGCTTGGACCTACGGAATAACCAGATTAACCACGAGGGTTCTAAGCACATTGCCCTAGCTCTCCAGAGAAATGGAAATTTAGAAAAATTAGGTAAAATAAAATTTTATGTTACAACACTTGTAGTATAGTTTTCCTTTTCCAACAAATGTTAACTTAATATAAAATATATATATACAAACTATTAATAATCAGTTAAAGTATGATATGTATGTAATAATCTGAATATTTTTGTTAAATATGCTGAACTCCTGTGTTTTGTATTTTTTTTTCATACCTTACATAATATTTTGAATAGTAACAAGTTGGATGAGTGACTTTAAAATCTATTAGTATAAAAACCATAACCAGTGATGAATTGTAAGTTTATTATCTAAAAATAATGGTCATGATAATATTTAAATTAGTAATTAGAAGAGTTCTTTTGCTGGTAATTTTTTAAAATAAATAATGTCTTCCAGCTAAAGTTGAAATCTAAATATTTTAAATATTCCTCTTTTTTATATTGCTTAATTTAGACTTTCAGGAAATTATTATCTGCATACAAGTAATGGAACATAACATTTTTGATAAAGTTTAGTGAATAATTGTGAGAGGTATATCATTGTGTATGTTGTGTATTAGTGTAGTATATTAACCAAGATATATGTGTTCACAGCCACTTGTAGCATATAAAATCTAGTCTAGTTGTGAGCATAGACTTCTAACCCACAAAACATCTCTAACAGCAGCAAATATAGTTTTATTTCACTGTCAGTTCTTAGAATGTGGGATGTGTTACATGTATAAAGGTATATAATCTAAAAATAAATATATTACTGACTTTAATGGTAGAGTATTGGATATGACTGTAACCTTCTAAGTACACAAATGTTTATGCTGCTTTAGAATATGGAATAAATACACGATGTATAACCACTATCTTTACACAGTTCACTAAATTTTGTAACACCATAGGCAGGATTATAGGGAGCAAGGGGGTGTAGTTTTCCCCATTTTTTTTTGTTAAGTTTTGAAGTGTCAATAAAACATAACCCTAGTTGACTGCTTGTTTTACAATAGTTAACAGAGTTTATTATTAAATGGCTACACAAATTGCTTTGCATTCCACAATTGTATCTTCTCTGATGTAAACTAGTGCAAAGAGGATGTAATACTGTTTTACTTTTTTTCTTTTGGGCAGTAAAAATGTTATGTTTAAACCTGCCTGTAAATACATTGATATAGTACACTCATGACATTGACACTTTTTCTTTTCCCCAAACATTTTGGTTCCAAATCCCACCCATGTATAAGCACTGTGTCTTGTGTGTGAAATACACTAATATATAGATCATTCATCAATGTAACACAGAAAAAAAGGTACTTGATGCAATATCGTTTTCAAATAAACCATCAGTTGAAATCAAAATGTAGGATATCACCATAGCTTCATCAGTAGAATATGTAATACCGTATGTTAATACACCACTCTCCTTTACCAACAAAGCATTAATATTCATCAGTTGAACATAAAATGTAGGTTATTGCTATAGTGTTGTTACTTAAACCATTAACGTATTTCCACACTGGCCAACTAGGCCCAGGCCTAGGGCGTCAAAATTTTTGTGTCATCGTTCAGACTATGTCTGGTCCACAAAGCACGTGAGCGGTACTCCCATAGGGGCCTAGATGTGACAAAAACCTAAATACGTCTCTGACTAAAACATGGAATGGTGTGTTACTACAGCCATAATGGTAGAATATGTAAAACAGTATATTAGTATATTTTCTGTTACAAAGAAAACAATTATTGTTCATCAGTTAACTCTCTCACTACGAGGTCGGTTGATTGGACTGACCTCATGACCATTCTGTACCTGTTATAGTTTCCATATATTAGTCTGAGTGCAAAGTGATTTCCATGTTAAGATTAAAAATACTTTTCCTCATCTCAAAAGTCTCAAATTTTACTTGCATAATCACTAAAACCTCCTAAATAAATTTCAAACGTTTCTTTTCAGTAAAACTTTATATTTTATCTGTTATTTTCTCTACCCTAACTTTATACAAGGTCAGTCAAATCTAAGTTGCCCTTTTTCTTTCTAAAATGACTTTAAATTGTAATATGAAACAACATTTGTTTATCCTAAGTAGCTTTACACTCATAACAATATACTTCTATTTATACATAAATTTTATTTTTATTGCCCTTTGAACCCTCTCTAACCAATATTCATGCCATTATAAGTTGTAAATCACTGGACAAACATGAAACTCGTATTACGCTATCGAATTATATTATGTACAAGCTACTTGTAAACTGCTTGTGAGTGTATTATTATATTATTTAACCTAATATAACCTGAACTAACATAAAAAGTTTCCTATTTTTTACATTCTGGTTACTTTTATAATAATAAAGAATGCACATGAAAATCAAGAAAAAATTACTTACCTGGGTCTTCTTTTTTTTTTTTTTTTTGCTTTTGACTGTCAGTGACTCTTAACCCTACTTTTTTATACTAATGGCAGTACTGCATTAAATGATATTTTATTTGATTAAATAATGCACCAAAGAACACGGATATTCTAACCTGCAAAAAGCAGACAGTGTTCCATAACTATCACAATTTTTCTGGTTTTCTAACTATGCAACAAGAGCCATTAAAATTTTCATATAAGCTCATTGATGCATTTACTAGAGGAATCAAACTTGAACAGAAAGTGAAATTGATGATTCTTTTTACAGAAAACAACGTAATATATCATTTGGTAGATGAAGACCTTGGCTTTCTATCGGTTATAAAAATTTATATAGTACACAGAGAGAAATATTGGCAATTTCTGAAAGAGAGGATGTGACAGGTTAGCATGGCAAGAGAAGTTTGGTTGTCTATTTCATGGCTCTATAACCAAATAAGATAAAAGGCTATGAAAATTATGCACAGTCTGAGCAACGATGACATTATAATAAGTAATTGACGTTAAATTGCATTCTTCTTGGAAGGGTGGTAAATAAATTAGAGAAGAGGGGATGCCTATAGAGCAAATGTCACAATTCTCACACTAGGGAAAATTCTAAATTTTTTTAAATATTGCATTTTAAAAGTAAGAACTTAAAACTTATATACTAGGAAAATATGAATTATTAGCTATGTTTTTATGCTATATGTATTGATATATCATGAAAAGAAAGTAGTTTAAGTAAATTTTGAATGTAACTCACTAAAACCTCGTGATATGCACAGAAAAAGATGTCCTTGGAGAAAAGGTTAAACATAAAATGTAAAATATTTCTATAGTCTTATCACTAGAACATGACATACAGTGTGTTACTTCAGTCTTGTTACTAAAATATGTAATACAGTACACCAATACATTCTCCCTTAAAAACAAAAGTTATTTTTCATCAGTTGAACATAAAATGCAAAATACTGCTACAACCTCATTACTAAAACAAAGACTACTATATATTACTTCAACCTCCTTTCCAAATAAAACTGAATTCAAGAATGGATATTATGCCATTGTATTGACTGGAACAGGCTGTTGCAGCAATGTGCAAAATCTATGGAATAAGGTTTGCTTTTTTTCTTGACTAAATATGCAAGTTACCCTTCATCTCTCAAGAAAGTAAACAAAATGATTATCCTAGTATTGTATAAAGTGTGGAATCAAACTTTCTGATATGTACCACATTCAATATTATATAGGAGTAGTAAAATATTCTGTAGGTGGTGATTAAATTGATAACAAGATCATCTCATTATTCTTACATTTCTTAAACAAGATCTGAGGTGGAATAACTTGGGCCTTATGGGATGTCGAGCATTACAGGAGTGTGTGCAGTATAATAGATCTTTAACTGAACTGCAACTGGCAGGAATTGGTGTTCCTGCTGATATTGTAAAAACTATAGGTAAGTCTCATTTTGGATCTTGTGGAATTGATGTTTACTGTATTTTAATGTTAATAACAAGTAAGATTGTAGGTTCTAAAAAGGTAGTAGCTGTAATTTTTCTGTTACAAGTAATAGCTGAGACTGTTTTTCTCTTCATCTAAGACACGGTATAATTGAATCATTATAAAAAGCACGACAAGTCGTGTTTGTAAATATATATGTTACTCTTTAAAACAACATTTTAATGTTTGAACTAACACAAGTAACAAGAAGAGAGTTGACACTAGCATAGAAACAGTAGTTGTTTCTTTTCACATGTAAAATTAATCATTTGTCTAACATTTTGGATTGCATAGGGTTACTTCAGGCAGCTGCTTGCAGCACACATGCAAATCAGTTAATGAAAGTAAATAACACAAGTAAAATTATAAAATATTATGAGAAAAATACCTAGATTTCAATATTTGACTATTTGTTACCACATAAACAGTAAAAGTCTTGTTGCATAAGATTTTTCAAATTTCTAGGATTTTCCATGAAAAGCATTAATATTCTGAAAGATCTCATTAAAATTACATCATCATTAACTAAAGTCTGTCTATTAGGAATGTTAAGTGTTACTGAGTTTTCATTCCATTAGTTCTAGTGATATTAAATTGGTGAGTTTTTGTTTTCCTGGGAAAAATTATCATGAAGTTTTGTGATGTGATCATTAGTTAATCTATCTTATACCAGTGGAAATTCATGTGTTTTGAGCATACATTCAGAATTATATAAATTTACAGTCAATAGTAATTGAACTTATAAGAAACTAAAAAGCTATAACCATTACCATTACTTTTCTTATAAGTGTGTTTTTTGTGAAAAATGTATTATCAAAAAAATTATTATCATATAACTATACTGTACATATAGTTATGATAGTTATGTTTTTTATTCTACCATACAGTTTATCAATATATGACTGTGGAATATTGTTCCAAATGTCTTCAGTATGTCTGCAGACTTGCAATGCTAGACACCATTGTGTAGCTTTGTACTCAAATTCAAACAAATCAACCAAATGTCTTATATTACTCCTTGTAATTAAATCAGTTTATTGGTCACTTTTTGACCTTCTCAGTTTTGACATAAGACCATACAACCTCAAGAGTGTTCATATTGGGATTTTATGCAGGCCAAGCCATGGTTGTTAGTGTTCCTTTGGTCTATTTACCATCAAGATAGCATCCTACCACATCTTCTGTGTGCTTGGAATCATTTTCTTGCTGAAAGATGAACCTCTGCCCAAAGAGTTGTGTTCCTGAGGGAATGGTCTGATGGATCATAATCTACCTGTACTTGTCATTACTTAGGATGCCATCAATTTTGTGTAAATCGCTGGTACTGTTCACTGAGAGCTCCCACCAGACTTCACTACAGATATATGCTAACCATGATACTATTGTTCTCTCTGCCATCAAACAAATTGTCATTAACTGTCACCAAAAAATTCAAAGTTTGATAACATCTGTAGAGACCACAGTTTTCATGTTATGGTTCATTGCACATTTCAATCTTTTGGTCTAGTTTCCTCATCTCAGCTGCACATCCTCTGAAACTACTTTATAATAATGTGTATCTTCCTGTTTTTGAAGTAACATTCACACCTGTTTTCACAGTAAGCTTATTAGCATGATCTGTTCTTGACCCTTGTTTATCTCATAAAGGAGATTTCAGTATTCTACCTCAGCTATAAAGAACATATCCTGAAATACTAAATACAGATTATTGATATTTCAGTGTTCTACCTCAGGTATAAAGAACATATCTTGAAATATTGAATATAACTTTTGGAAATTTCAGTATCTACCTCAGTTATAAAGAACATATCCTGAAATACTAAATATAACTTTTGGAGATTTCAGTATTCTACCTCGGCTATAAAGAACATATCATGAAATACTAAATACAGCTTTTTGAGATTTCAGTATTCTACCTCAGCTATAAAGAACATATCCTGAAATAATAAATATAACTTTTGGAGATTTCAGTATTCTATTGCCATTTTCATCTACCATCTTCAGAGTTTTGCAAACAACTCCTATATAAACATGAAGTCATGTTGTAATTTTTTTCGTAGGGTATCCTTGACTAACAAGACTTTTGATTTCTACATGTTTATCATATGGTATTTTAGTATTGGGAGCTCTGACTGAATTCAAACTACTACTGTTAGGCATACTATGACAATCTGCATTTTGAAAAGTTTTATACAGTTTATACTGCTTTGACACTTTTCACAACAAATTTTCAAATGATAAAGAGGTGGCGTTCCTGTAGTATTTGCCTTTTATACCTTTTTTCCTCACAGTTTCCATAATTAGTACCAAATGTGTATGTATATGCATAAAAAAAGAAATACATTGACTTTTTTCTTTCTATCTCTCTCTCAGTATACAGAATAGTTTTTGATCTGAATACAGCTACAGATAGGTTTAAAATGTAGTTTTGTCAAATTGCAACATATTAGAAAAATACAAGATTTACAATTACCATATTATGGTTATTTTTTGTAATTGTAAAATAAGTGCTTGGTTAATCTATTTATTTTTAGTTATACAGTTAACTCTCTCACTATGGGCTTAGTCCCATGGACTGACCTCTTAACCATTTTGTGCTTGTTATAGTTTCATGTTATAACTTTTAACACAGTAAGCATATCTTCAAGAAATTTTAAAAATTATCAGTAAACATTACAAGGCTTTTGTACACAAAATATCATTTTTTATTAAGATTTTTAAGTAATGATTTCCCCGTGCATTTTTCTTTTCAAATGTTGACTATCCAGCATGCAAAATAATTTTAATTTTAAGGTTGAAAATACTTTTATGCATCAGATAATTATTCAAATTTCACATCCAAAATCATTATAACCTCCAGCTAATTATCCAACATTTTTTAAAACAAACTTTATATTTTATCTGTTATTTTCACTATTGTATCTCTATATGAGTTTGGTCAATTTAACCAACCTTGTAATCACCAACAAAAATTAGCAAATAGATATAAATTATGCTTTTTTTCATTCTAGAATGACTACAAATTATAACATGAAAACACAAATGTTAAGTCTAAATGTATTAAATCTCATAACATTATACATCTATATATATTTATTATTTTTATTTTATTTTACTGACTAACATTGCAGAAGTTGCAATGACGTGGCACATGTGCACTCATGTTACCATATCTAAGAACATAAAACTGGCCTTTACAAAGTGACCTTTATTGGCTGTGTTCTAGTGGACCAGTATTTTGTAAAATACAGTTACACTTCAGTTATAATACATTATATAAGTATGTACATTATTCTTATTTACAAATAAGTTCTTAAATTTCAGTTATTTTTCTTAAAATGTAGAACAATAAATAAAGAAGTATAGAAAACAATTATCTCTTCTAGTTATAAACTTTTGTACTCATTTGCTGCTTGCTGTAATTTGCTAAGCCTTATCAAATTTCACATGTGGAGGATGTAAAACAAAATATTTTTTTTTAAGTTCTATATCTATATATGCATTTGGAAATAACAAAAAATTATAAATTACTATATCAGTACTACAGAATTCCTCTATAATTTATTAAGCTTAGTAACTAAGCTATATTTGGGTCTAAAACAATATGATTTTTCAAATTCACTAATGTATTACCTTACCACTTGGAATTTACCATGAAAGGAAAGGGTTTCCCATGTAAATACTTCTCAGAGGCTGAGAAGACTATTAGGGGGACATTCTGAGCTTTCGATTAGTTATACACACATCATTGGGCAAAGTAGGTCTACATAAGCAAGTATCTTCTAAAATGGAAGAGATGGGCTAAGCACCTTGGTCGATTCACTTAATATATTAATATCTCAGAAAACAGAAAATATGGGAGATTCTTATCTTATATTCTAGTTTGTCAATATTGGTAAATTGAGTTTCTAATTTGTAAGAAACTATAGACTTTGTATTTGGACATCACAAACATCTAATTTGAACTAATTCTGCATTCAACATACCACGTGACACACAAAAATCGATATTTAGGATATTTATTTTTATATTTACTTTTAAATTAAGAAATTAACTAATGTATAATACTAAAACTTGAATTACAGTATACAAATTGATACCAAACTTATTGACATACATTTATAAAATAATAGTTCAACAAAATTTTGAATGTGAGTCTATAAATGCAGTGACATGGCCTTTTATCCATGACCATAGGAAGACCCATAGAGATAGAGTTAACTAAGTTTTTGTTGATAACTGTGAGCTGATTGCTATACATATACTTATTTCACTGTAATCTGGTTAGAAATGTAATGCTAAGTGCAGAAGTAATAAGATATATCAATTATAAAGAACACTTTGAAAAATGATTTTAGAAAGATTTTCAGTTTGAAATAATATTCTTATTTCTAACTTGTGACAATAGATTCTTTTAAACTATTTGAAAATGATATTTGTCTAAGATTCATGTACATATGACAAAGAAATAGGTGAGCTTAGTTTTCTTTATATTCTTTATTAATCTTGCTATGCTTTTTGACTTTGAACGGGAAAATTTTTTCTAGTGGTATAATGCACCAATTCATTGTAAGAACGAAATATCTATTTTTCTGTATTGTTCTCTAATAATAAGATCTTATGGGAATTTGCATTTTTTTTTACAAACTATTTTGTTTGAACAGTTGACCAAATTTTTTATCTTCATAGATAAAATTAATGTCTTGGTTAAGGCTGATTCCTTTCTTGATATTTGTGTTATATTTTCTTCTGTGGAAAAGTTGTGTTTTGGATAAATCATATCTATTTCTTAATCAAATTGTAATTTATTATGACTGCTTATCACCAACACTACATAGTACATTATTTAACAAAACTAAATTTTTTTCTTGATAAAAGAAACAACCATTTTCAGTAATGCAGAGAGACAACTTGCCACAACAGAATGGTTTGAACGTACACAGAGACTTACTGAAGAAATTAGACAGCTTGAGCACAACAAAAATTTAGAGGTTGGTTTTTTACAATTGTAGGACGATAGAATATTTCTGATCGTTTTTAGAAAAGTCAATAGTTTATTAAATATATTTGACTTGAAAAATTAAAAACAATATGTTAAGTCAAACACTTTGTTAAGAAGTACAAAAAATGTGTTGTTAATATTATGTTTAATCTTCTTAAGTGACCTTGTTGATTTATTATAGTTTGGCTGAAATAATATATGAATGTCAAATTATTTCAACAGAAATAGCTAAAAAATTGTTTCAATATCAGATTTCACACAAGTTACTTAAACACTCGAGTTGGACTAGATTGAGGAATCAGCTTAAGTATTGTGACATTTCTGCTTCTGAGCCAATCAGATTTTATATATATATATACATTTAGTGATTATCATAAGTTACAAATATATTTCAAGTGTTGTGGCAAGAGTTCTGCTTCTGAGCCAATCTGATGATGCATATAATGATTGGAAGTTAGAAACATATTTCAAGTATTGTGACGAAATTCATGCTTCTGAACCAGTCTCATTGTATACAGTGATGGTAACAAGTTAGAATCATACTTCTTTCACTTTTATATAATGGACATATCAGAGTATTTGAACATAGGCAGTAACTTTGCCAAGCATAATACTTTAGCCTAACTAATATCTGTATATTGCCTTGCATGTTATTCATAATCTTTATATATAATCCAAATTGTCTAAATCTGTAATCCAAAATTGTTTTTCTATTATCATAGAAGTAATCAAAATTCAATTTTAAGAATATTCTAAACATCTCAAAGTAAAAAAAAAACTATAAAGTCTTCCTTCATTTGTTGTTTTATTCAGAATGAAAGATCCCTGAGTTGATATAATATTTCAGATTTAGCATCATGCAAAAATAATTCTCTTTTTTGACATATTTAAGTTTCATTTATGATTAACAATTAGCAGACTAAATTTAAGTTGTTTTCAAGTGTTTGGTTCTATTCACATCCTCCATATAACGTACAAAACTTACCCAAAGCAAAAGTAGTGTGCTATAAAAGTGACTTATTATCTGTAGGTAACACATTTAATGGACAGACTTGAACAGGTGGATGAAGAAATGAACAACACTCAAAAGTAAGTGAATGTACATACACGTATTAAACTTTTCTGAATAAATAATATTAGCTAAATTTCTAAGTAATATAAATTCCTGATAGCTAGTGATAATTTAAAAACCATTAAAATGTAATAGAGTGATTAGGTATTTGAACGGACATTATTTATTTTTTGTCATCAGTGATTTGAACTAGTGTAGTAATAACCTGAAAACAGATAACAAACAGGACAGTAATTATCATTCTGAGAGAAAAGTTATGTTTTATGGTGATGAGAGGGCCACCTACCATGATTTGTAGAATTTTCATATGCTATAAAATGTATAAAATTAGAAACTGGGGATGTGGAATAATTCAAACACAAAAATTTCCTGTGTTATACACAGCATTACTACTTAAACATTATGTGAACTGTATAATAATACATATAAAAAAAAAATAAATGGTTAATAGGTGAATGTATTTTAGATTTATGAGTTATATTTTTCTTTGTTCTTTATGTAAGACCTATCTGGAGTCTGTTAATCTAAATGATAAAACATTTTATGTTTTCAGGGGATTTAAAATGTTTTTAGATTCAGAAAGACAGTGAGAAATTTAGTTAAGAAGAGTAATAAAATTAATCTTCTTTTGGTCTGTTGTAAGGAACCCCCTAAGTTGAGTATATAGATAAGGAACTTATAAGGTGGTGACCTAGAGATTGAATCAAATACCCAGCAGTTCTCAATGAAAAAAAAAAAATGCCTTTTGAACTTATTTTTATGATTATTTTGATGAAATGTAATAGAGGAACTTGGGTAGACCTCTCAAAGATTAAAGTTTAGATGGATAAGGAATAGGATGAACAATCAGTTTGGTAATCATTCAAGTTTTATCACTTTTTTGCTATGAATAAGAGCTCAGTTGAACAAGGAGGTAGGTAGCAAAATACATGATGTCAACACCAAATGAGAGTAACATTTAATGCAGCACATAGTATGAGTACTTTTGCATCAGATGAATGGTTTATGTGCTTTGGCTCAAAATAGTGGAAGAAGATAGCCCACACCCCCCATTTATAGCATTACTAGGAAGACTATCATTGCTGGGTACCTTTACTAGTCTATTATATTTCTGTAATTATTCATTTACTCCCACTTTCATACATTACACACATTTCTCATTCATTCTTTTAACAAAAATAGTAATAAAAAAGGTTCAAAAGACAGTGATTATTTCTATGAAATCTGGATAGAAACATATAAGCTGGTTACTGGTGAGATAGTGATATTTCTGGTGTTACTACCTGGTCAGGACCATACCTTGGGAACCAGTGAGAGAGAGCCTGGTAACTGTGAACAATGGCCAAAAAGTTTCTTTTTATCTACTCAAATCCTGGGGAACTTAGATTAGTTTTAGATTCAGATTTTGACATCAGTAACATTGTTTAAAGTTTCTTTTTTATCTACTCAAGTCCTGGGGAGCTTAGATTAGTTTTAGAATCAGATTTTGACATCAATAACATTGTTTAAATTTTCTTTTTATCTACTCAAGTCCTGGGGAACTTAGATTACTTTTAGACTCAGATTTTGACATCAGTAACATTGTTTAAAGTTTCTTTTTATCTACTCAAGTCTTGCAGAACTTAGATTAGTTTTAGACTCAGATTTTGACATCAGTAACATTGTTTAAAGTTTCTTTTTATCTACTCAAGTCCTAGGAACTTGATTACTTTTAGACTCAGATTTTGACATCAGTAACATTGTTTAAAGTTTCTTTTTATCTACTCAAGTCCTGGGGAACTTAGATTAGTTTTAGATTCAGATTTTGACATCAGTAACATTGTTTAAAGTTTATTTTTATCTACTCAAGTCTTGCAGAACTTAGATTAGTTTTAGACTCAGATTTTGACATCAGTAACATTGTTTAAAGTTTCTTTTTATCTACTCAAGTCTTGCAGAACTTAGATTAGTTTTAGACTCAGATTCTGACATCAGTAACATTGTTTAGGATTTGGACTAGAAGTTCACTAGTAATACTTTTAACCTGAACCTTATAAATGACTCAGTAAGAGTGTGACAAAACATTATTGCTTCCTTAACTACAAGTATTTTAATTTTATTTGACAATGCAATTTCTAAAATGTTACCATTCAGTTGGCTCCACTGTGCATTTTATGATTTTATTGGTTGATATTTAGTGAGTGCATAAGATTAGTGTAGATTTGTGCATTGACTACATTTTGCATGTTGTAAATTTACATCACAAAAGAAAAGATTTAAACACTTTAAAATTTAAAAAAAATTGAATCTTAACACTTTAGTATAAACAATAGATTTAAGAAATTAGTCAATACCATCTTTATACAGCATTGTTGTTTGATGCTTATCACATCTCATAATGATAAACAACATACTGAACATTAAAGAAGTTTATGCAAAATAGGAAAAATTACCTTAAACTGAGAAAAATTGCACAAATGGCCCTGTATGGCATTTGATACACATGAAAAAGATAAAGATGTGGCAGTAGACAAGTTCATTTCTGTAAATATACCGTGTGATTGTTTCACATGGGAGAAATAACTACCATAATAAGTATTTATTTTTTGACCATCACTTACAGGCAAAATTCCCATTGTATTGAACCTTGTACTTTTTCACCCTTGAATATCAGGTTGTTGTTTAATTATGGAAGGAGGTATATGTCCTCAGCTGCCAACTACAAAACTTTGCAAAAGCAGAAACTATAATACTGACCAGATTTTAAATTTTATTTGTATGTTGCTACACATTTATAAATCTAACAGCTTGTAATAATTCATAATTCACCAATATGCTCTTTGCTAAAACTGACACCATTCTCTTCAGAATTGACAATTAATGTCTCAGAAGACACAATTTTTTAGGTAATTTCACATGATACTGAATTATATTTAACTCATCTTATAGTTAAGCCTTATACATGACAATAGCATGGTGCCATGTCAGTTAAAGCAAAAGTGTTCAGAGTTCTTAGTTTATAGATACAACACATTTTTGTGAGTGAGTAACTAAATTAAACCTTAATACACCGTTTGCTTTCAAATTAATATTTAAGTTACACTAAACTAAACTTTTACTTGAAATACTGATATATTTAAACATATGACCCAAATTGTTAACACTAAATACAGTGGAGTCTCACTATAACACTGTAGTCAGGGTCCATATTATGGACCCCAATATAAGTGATGTGCATTATAGCTATTTTCTGTGATATCACCACATAATGTGGGTCCATGACGTCTTTATTCACATCCCATTAAACTCACAACTTGCCAGAAACCATGAATAAATGACACAAAGAACAAGGCAACCTATTCAGATTTAAATACAAATTAAAGTTCATTAAGAAAATTTAAAAATAATAAGAGTATAAAATTTGTACATGCACATGAATTTTTTCAAGTATTGTTACACATCATAAGCAACATGAAGATGGTGGTATTCACAACAATTTTAGAGCAGCATCAAAGAATTGGATCAGTAATATTAAGAATAAATATAAATACTTTTGAAAAAATTCCTACTGCAAAAACACAGATAATCTGGAGATTAACACGAATTGTTGCAAGTTGATTTATGTATTAACGAGCACGGAAGAAGAAGTTGTCATGATTGCGAGATTCAACTTTGGCTATTTGTAAGAGGTTTAAAAGGTGGATAATCATTACAGGTGTTGAGATTTCATAATATTCAGCCCATTTTAGTGCTGGTTATGACAGATTTCATTGGTTAATTTGCTTAATTAATCAGATGGGGAAATTTAATTTGTCAGTTAAAAATTTTTGTAACTGAGTGGATACTCAAAAATCTCGATTAAACACTCAATTCACATTGGTTAATTAACTTGTGTCTAGGTCTGGTATTTTGGAGTTCATGAGAAGTCTGCATTATAGTGAGGCTCTATTGTAACAACTTTCTAATAAATTGGTGAGTTACTGATACTTCCAGCCATTCTAATTGGAAGTTATCATGTACTTTAAAAAAAAAAATCAAAATCCTTCCTAATCAGAAATACAAGCCAGATTCTTTGTCTACTTAGCACTAAAAAAATGAAGAGATGTATTGAATATTAGAGCATTAGAGGATAAAAAAAAATTCTTATTGTAATAGAGATGACAGTTTTGAATGTTACATGTATTGCACACCAGTCTTCCAGTTTGAACCATTGCCACTTTCATTTCTGAAATCTACAAAAAAAAACAAAAAACGTGCAAATCTTTTATTTTAATAATAGATTTTGTAAGTTCTTGTTTATTTTGATTACATACATTTCTTTAAAATAATTTATGTGTATTTATGTATTTTGGAATGTTTTATCTTTGGTATATAGTTAGTTTGTACTGATGGTAGTTTGATACTCCAGTTTTCTTTTTTAACTTAAGTATTTTGATTGAGATATCTAAATCTGTTTTTGTTAATGTATTTTGCATAGACATAGTTTAATCAAAATAAAACACCTTCAGGAAGCCTTGGATGAGAGAACAAATGCCTTCAGAAACCTTGCAGCTAAGTAAGTTATGACAGCAGTTAAAGTGATTTGTGAAATTCATTGCTATTTATATATATATATGTAATAGATATATTTTTGTATTATGTAGATTGAAAATCTATTTTCTTGGATCATATAATACAGTGGATCACTTCTAAAAAACATTTACTTCTATAACTATAACAAAAAATTTTATTTAAAAAAATTCATTTGCAAAAGGTGATTGTAAGATAAGGTTGAGACAAAAGAATATACATAGAATTTATAAGACAGAGTATGCAATTGAAATCTTAATATAAAAGAATTTGAAATCTTTATTTGAGCAAATCTAATATGTTAAAGCAAAATATTCAGTCTATGTTAACAAGGCTACTGATATTACATACATGAATTTAACATTTACTTTGCAAATATTGAATTAGTATAAGTTCCTTGACATGTAAACTTCACAAAATATGCCATTTTGACCTGATTTATAGAGTGGAAACTCTTCAAGCAACACTGAGCTTGGCTGAACAGAAAAACAAAGACTTATCTGAAATTCTGTCTCAGGCACAACAAGACAACAGTGATTTAAGAAAACAGCATTACAACCTGTTATCCCAAGAAAGGAAGGTAGAACAGATGGGTTGGAAATTAGTTTTTTTTTAAATTTTATTAACAGTTCTCGACTCAGAATGTGAAAATGTCACTAGTGTTTTAAATCTGTGCAGGTTCAAATTAATCAAATACACAAGTTAATTTAGAGAAGAGACACTGTATTTTTAGTGGATATAGATATTAAGAACAAAGAAAACAAGTAATTGATAATTATCAGAAGTTTATGATGACATCAATGATTAATAAGTGTAAGGTGTGAAAACAACTCTAAATCCAGACTTTAGTACCTTTACACCAGACTGCTTTTTTGATGTTTGTTCTATACATGGTAGGTCCAGTAAAAGCTTATTTAGACTTTCATAATCAAAGGTGTCTTTAGTGGATTTATACACATGAATATAACTTTTATGTAAGGAAAGATTGCCATTTATTAATTGTTGAGACCAGTGGGCATATCAAAGTTTAAGTAAAAATATTAACTCTATTTATACAGTTTTTACTCAAAAATTATGTTGAATTGATATTTCGTCACTTTATAACATTTATTGTAATTTGCAAATAAAAATGAAAAACAATTCAGATCTGATTCCTGAACAGCAGCAAGAAAGGTTTATGGTCTTGAGATGTTATGTTCATTACTAACAAGCACTTTATTAAGAAATATCTTTATTGCCATTATACAAGTTTCAGTGAAAATGTTTGTTAATGTATTTTTGGGAACAGACCTTAATATCCTTAAATTTTCACCTAAATAGCCCTAAATGTATCCATAAAATCATATTTTTGTGGCTGTAAAGCTTGTTAATATATAAAATGTTTTTATAATATCCAATTTAAAGTTATATTTGACTATGGTAGAAGATGTTTTGTTGTAAAATCATTTAATTTTTTTGTAAGTTTAATGCATTTATGTTTAATACTCATACTAACTTTTGTTATATAAAGAAAGAGCAGTTGATATAACTTGCATGATATATGAATTTGCTAAATTTAGAATTTGATGGTCAGATGTACTATTAAAGGTGACTAACAAAAGGAAATATTTATGTAACATGACATAAGCATATATGATGTAATTATAAAAAAAAATTTTTCCAGAGTTTTATCAGTTTAAGAGGCTTTATAAAAAACAGTACTAACATTGTTTCTTATTGTTAAAAAGTTAACATTTACACTTGAAAAATTATGTTTTATATTTGAAGGACAGAGCTAACAGTGAAGCTCAACTAATAGAAGATCTCAGTAGCTTAAAAGAAAAAAAGTTACAATTAGAACAAGAGGTAAAAGAATTATTTAAGAAACATGTTGTTTCCTCTTTTTCTTTACAGTGAATTAACGTAATGTGCTTTTAGAATCAATACTTTGTGTTTTACGTATTAAAGTAAGGATTTAACCACCATTTATGCATTTTTTATCAGTCTGTTGTTTTCAGAATTTATAGTTGAATAGGATTAGATATTCTTTTACATGTGATGTATAGTTTAACTGTATAAAGTAAAGCATCATAGGAAATAACTTGCTGGCCAGCAGCTCAGTATATTGAACATTCTTCAGTCGTACTTAAAATATACCATTGTACATGTTCACCGATTTGTGTTATGGAGAATATGTTTGTATTGCTTTTTCCCCAATTTTTATACCTGTATATGTAACCAAAATTTTAACTCTTCTCTGGACATATGTGCAGGTCATATAGAAATTTACCCCTTTTCTTAAGTTAGGTACATACAACTCAGTCAAAAATTTTAGTCCCATTTATAAACCAGCCATCACTCAGAAAAAGCTTTGCTTGTTCCTTCTTTCTTCCTAATTTGTATTTTTGGCACAAGATTTTATGAACGTTCCAAACTTATTTTATACCATATAAACTGCTTAGTAAGTACCATCATACAGTCTGTTTGGTTATCAATAAACAAGGTTGCTACTATAAGAGTGATGGTCAAATCTTGCTATTCAGTCAGATAAGAGTTGGTAGTGGGTGCTGTTGATTAACTACCTTCCCTCTAATGTATTGGTTCAAAGTTAGATAGGCTGTGTTTAGCATTATGTGAAAATTTTGAAGCAAACAAACATATTAATATGCTACATGGTAAGTCAGAAAAGCTGTACAGTTATTTTAAAATAATATGTTTTTGTTTTTACAAATGATTTACAAACTTTGTATAGAGAATAGCACTTCACTGGTTTATCTGTATAATTCATACTTACATTTATGTATCTCAAGTAATAGTATTACAACAGTTTAAAAACGTGTTTCTCATTTTTGGATATTTAATCAAAGCACTTTATAAAAGAAGTATAATATTTTAACAAAAATCATGATATTAATATTCAGTGTGTATTTTAACTTTCTCTTTCTGCATTGAACATTTTCTAATTATGTGAGCAAGTGTTTCTAAAAGGTAAATAAAACAACTTCTGAGATGGATGTATATTCCATTCATAACATCAAGGTAACTAAAATTCATCAGAGAGAGAAAACCCTAGAAGAAAGAGTTCAAGAACTGGAAATAAAAGTAAAAAATTATGAAAAAAGGATAAGAGAAATGGAAGAAAGTCACCAAGGTAAGATTTTAAACTGTTAGTGGCAACATACAACCACTGTATGTAATATAGATAAAGAAAATGGAAGAAAGTCATCAAGGTAAGGATTTAAACTGTTAGTGGCAACATACAACCACTGTATGTAATATAGATAAAGAAAATGGAAGAAAGTCATCAAGGTAAGGATTTAAACTGTTAGTGGCAACATACAACCACTGTATGTAATATAGATAAAGAAAATGGAAGAAAGTCATCAAGGTAAGGATTTAAACTGTTAGTGGCAACATACAACCACTGTATGGAATATAGATAAGAAGAATGAAAGTCATTGAAGTAAGATTTTAAACTGTTATTGGCAACATGAACCACTGTATGTAATATAGGTGAGGAAAGTGGAAGAAAGTCATCAAAGTAAGAATTTAAACTGTTAGTGGCAACATAAAACCACTGTATGGAATATAGATAAGAAGAATGAAAGAAAGTCATTGAAGTAAGATTTTAAACTGTTATTGGCAACATACGGCTACTCTACGGAATATAGGTGCACTTCCAGTTAATTAAAATCTGCCTTATAACTAGTAGGATTACCTTATTCAAGATAACTAGTTGTTAATTGATGCTGTGCATAGAAATATGCCAAGCATGGGCAGATTGAACAGACAGCCAAAATGGGCACTGTCCTGGGCCCTTGGTTCATGGGGTTCCAAAACATGATTGATCATGCAAAATGTCTTTCAGCTATCTAGCTAACTAGTGACTTTTTATTCTATTTCCATTCCCCTTTCATTTAAATTGAATACTATATAATAAGATTGAAAATTTTAGGGAAACAAAACCAGCTCAGATACTACCTACAACTAAGTAGTTTACATTTTGCTGTTTCAGCATCAAAAAGAACACAAAATACTCAACTTGAAAACTCAGCACAATAGAAGGTGAGGAGGTGCTTGTTAATATCTTCTTTTTTTTTTTTTCTAGAAATAGTTATCTTCCAAAACATAAATACCTACATTGAAACTAATAGCTATTTCTACATCTTCATCTTTGCCATCTAACGTTGTGTTCACTTGCTCCAGTGTTTATATACCCCACTCGACTGCTCTCGCCAATACCTAATTTGTAAAACTTTATGTCGACCCTCACACACCCTCTATGCAGGTACTATATATAAGCACTGTATGCAGACAGTGAAATCACTTTTTCTCCACAAAGCACGAGCATTCATACTAACGTTTTGTGATTCACATTTTTCTTAGTTTTTGTTTTCTAATAATCGTGAATTCTTTGTTGTGTTATCCAGAGATATATTTTGTTGAATTTGTCTTTTCCTACAAATATATTACAATAAAAATGGATATGAACACCCATGTAACAGTTTCAAGCATGGTGGCTACTCAGCCTTTGTCTATCCCTCCTTTGTTATCTAGTGGTGGTCAGCAGTCAGGTATGCTTGATTTGAATATTCAGTATATTCTGAGGAGAATTTAGATTCCCTGTTTCCTGCTCTTTCCTTCACTAGAGCTTCCTCTCCTGAGGATTTATATGATCAGCCACCTTCTGCCCCTTTTTTCTGCAGTTAGTTACATGTATTTGTGAAGTTTTGGAGATGCAATTGCTTTTGAGTCTACTGCTGCTTTGTTTTCCGATCATTCTCAAGGGGATTACTTAGTTTTTTCCTCTTTCTTCTGATATTGCTGTGCATGCAGAGAGGTTTGCAACACAATTACATGAGGGTGTCACTATGCCTCCCCCCTCATTTCTCTGAACAACATGCCCTGGCGTATCATTATCAGGATGATATATATTTGGACACTCAAAGGTTGTATCTGTTTATGGATCTGTGGGGTCCCAAGTACAAACCTGTTATCTCTCTTAACAGGTCACAATTTTTGAGGATTTGTTTGACTCTTACTACTATTTCAAGATACTTTTCTTCCCTTCAACTTTTGTCTGAAGCATATCACCGATTGCCTCAACAATTTGATGATGAACCGGGCCCTTTACTGGTCACTACTATGACACGTCTGTCCTCTTCAGACTTACCTTGGTTTCATGGTTGATCTGTTGCTGGGAATTGTTGAGTCGTAATGCATTTTTGGAGGGTATTCACTTACCTGCATCTGCCCTTCGAGATTTACAGGAAGTGCCTTTTGTTCGGCCTTATTTCTTTGCTGGAATTCCAGAATCTTTAGAAGCCAGAGTTGATATGGCACGTTTGAAGTTTTCTTTATCGTCTTTGGCTGCTCGATTATATTCTACTTCCAATGGTACTTCTGTAGGTTCATCCCTTTGTGTCTCAAGGCCCCCTCCTTCCACTCCTCATTGCATTGGTTCTCTTAATCATTTCCATCTTTATTCTGAAGAGATATTTTGTGAGCTGGTATGTGGAATTCTCCCGACACATTCATATCTCATTACCTTCATGATCTGGCAATTTTCTCTTCAAAGAGACTTCGTCTTTTCCCTGTGGCTATGTAGATTTCCTCTACTAGATTTTAACAGGGTGATGAGTAACATGTTATCTGACTTACAGTTATTGTTATTTTCTCTTCTAGGGTCCCTATTGATTTCTTTTGGATCTCACTCAGTGGCGAGTGTTGCCCAATTGGGTATGTTTGTATTTAAATTCTGTACTAGCAACCTTTATATCGGTTCCTCTGTCGATTTACCTTCGGAGTGTTGAGTTTTCTCCATTCTCGGAGAAGAGGGCAAAGTTGGAGACCCTCTTACGTGGGTCCCTGGAAGTTTTTTCCAGATGTTGATAGGAGCAGGACTAACCTATGTGGGAGCCTACTCATAAAACCAGTCCAGATTTTACGCTTAGCTATCTGGTGGCAGGGGTGGTGGTGCTTGGACCCTCTTATGAACACTTTCAGGTCTTATGTTGTTCATGTAGGGGGTCTACTATCTCCACATAAATCCTAACGCGATGCGGTCTCATCTTTGGTCGTTGGTGGGACAGTGTTCCACATCATACTCTCCAAAACTCGAGTAAACTGTTCAAACCATTTATAT